GTTTTTAAAAAGAAACATACACACCCACTGATGAGGGGATTAAGCAAAACGATGGAGAACGAGGTTGGAAATACAGTTGCCCAAAGAGAATTCCCAAACTGCCAAATCCTTAGATATGAAGCTTGTCTTGCAATGGAAGCCAACATGACTTGGAAGGCCAGGCAGCTGGCACTGCATAGAGGGAACAAACAAAAAGCACCCACAGCATAAAGGCAGACCAGGTTCTTTGGGTGAATCTGGTATCATTTATTAGACTTCAGCCTGACAAACGGTTTTTAAACTCGAAAGCTTGCTAAGAAAAATGTTTCCAACTATTTAAGTTGGTTTAATAAACGATATCAGATTCACCCAAAGCACCTTGTCTACCTATGCCCTTAGACCAACACAGCTACAACCTACACCCCAGAGGATAAATGCATCCATCTCAGTTGTGCAATCTAACCATGCACAGTGACTGCATTAGAGAATCACTCACTCAAGTTATCTTCAAAATGCTTTAAAAATGTTTCAACCACACAGTGAGCTATGGACAGTTTTAGTCTCACTCCTGAATCTGGACTGATGGCTCTCATACTGATCTGAAAAACTGCCCACATGGATTTTCAAAATCTCAGAGATTGATTTCAACTTAGATTTTAAAAGTAGGACAGTTGCTAACAGTGCCAAATTTTCTTTTTGAGTATCCTTATGCAAGTTTCTCTTGCTGAAATAACAGGTCAACCAGATGAGAGGACTAAAGTTAAAATGCACTGAAAGAAAGGAAGTGTAACAAGAGGAGCTCCCTGTGGCTTTCCCCACACACTCATGTGTACTGTATTTCTGCAGTCTTCTCACCAGAATGAGTAGGCTGCTCCAAAGCTCCAGTGACCTCTCTGCAGCCTGTGGCAAGACACCTCAGCAATTCAATTGTGAATAAAACCGGCTAAATAGATACAGAAAGACTTGTTCTCAGTTGATCTCCCTTTGACTATAATTACAGTCTCTCATTTCAGTAGTGGCACGAGGGCCTTCCTAGGCAGCTAGAGAGAATCAAAGATGATCAGAAGATGGGCAGTCAAATTTATTAGGCAACTTGTGCTACTGAGAGCTTCAGGTGCTGACATGAGGTAGCTTCTGTGGCAGTGACTGGGTGTGCAATTAAAAGGCTGGGTCGTCTTCACTTCTAGTATGAATCACCATTTCCTGTGCAAGCTGTGTGCACAGGGTGCACTGTGAAGCCACAACAGAATACAGTGCAAGTGTTGTATGCTTCCCAAGAGGATACATAAAATAACTGTTTTTGCTTGAGACCAAAATGTACATCAGGAGCCTTGATTATAAACACGTGGACATACTAAGCGTCACATCCATGCCTAGAGTGACAGTGTTTAAGGATGCTTGCACCTGGGAGTCTGCATGTGAAGCAGACATATGCAATAGGTGGTATAGTCAGCCGTACACATAATGCATTAAATCGGAGATTTTACTTGCTCCTTTACTCTGGAAAATGCCATTGGTAACAAACGAGGACACATTTTCATTCTGCGTTTGATCTTCCCTTGTGATTTTAATCCAGATTTAACAGTTTTCTCCATGGCTGGCCACAGACATTTCATTATAAAGGCATTAAACTGCTATTAGAATCAAGTTATTGGGATGTCTTGAAAATGATCAAGTATAGTACGATGACGCTGAAATTTGTTAACAATATAGCATGTCTAAGAAGTCTATCGCATTATGAAGAAAGCACAAGCAAACATATTGCAGCACTGAAGTAACTGAATATAGGAATAAACTTTTTGAAGTTAATGCAAACAAGCAAGCTAACATAGGCCTTTAATGACTAATTTGTAGGGGAGGTAGAGTACACAAACATGTAGGCATATGAAACTGAACCTATTGGTCTTATTTGTGTACTAAAGTGTGTGAAGAATCAAGCAATAATAAATAGCTGTTCTGTAAAATCACAGATTCCATGAAAATGGTCATTGATTCTGGTATCGAACAGATACTGCTTCTGTCTTCAGTGTTGCCCGTAGCTTGCTGCAGTGACAGAACAGTAAGACTGTGGAATTAAAGCTGGGTCTCAAGAAGGGAATGAGCCTCCCTTTGAAGACGTGTATTAAATACTGGTTTAGAAAATGACGCTAGGACTTTCAAGCAGTAATCTCCTCTGCTGTTAAAGAAGTGGAATCAGACTGAGCTGGACTTTCCCCGCTTCTGCGTGACTGTTCAGCACTTGACTCCTATGTTTTGGTGCAATTCTTCAAGTATCTTTAAAGCTGGTTCCAAGCTGCTGGGACACAGTTTGGGGAGAGAAAAATATATGGAAGTGATAAGGTTTTAAAAATATTTTTCAAAACATGGCTTTGAAAAACGGCCATTAGGACAAACTGCTGCTGTTCCAGCATTGTGTAACCTTTTCTTTACTCCTATTTTTATACCTTGCTGTGAGAATTGGCTCACTGGACAATTTCTCATGCTTTCAGGGCACTGGGAACTGAAGGAAACCCTTCTGAGCACACGCCCTTCACAAACTGGAACTGAAAAATAGAAAGCTAAGAATGACAGGAAGAAAAAGAAAGTAATAAAGAAAAGCAAGTGGAAAACTGCCATGAGAACTGAAGCAAGTGTAGTAAAAGATTAAAATTCCCATAACAGCTCAATACATTGACTAACAAAAGGAGAAAAGTTTGGGACCTGGTACAAAACCACTCTCCCTTTTCTTCTGAAATGCATTTTTTAATTTTTTTTTTTTTAAGTGGATGAGTCGATGATTTCTCAGGCATTTTAAAAACAAAACAATCTACTATGGAAATCAATACCTGATCTAGCAAATTACAGAATGATCTACTCCACTCTCTCTCACACAAAAATAAATAAATAAGAGTAAAAATAAAAAAACCTCAGGAAGCTAGCTACCATTTTAGTGGATCTATCCAATTCCTGGATTGTGCTGAGATTTGACACACACTTTGCTCACACGTGTCCCTAAAAATCAACCCGTTTGCTAACGAACTAGATCTGGCAGGGAGGCTCCTGGCATTTGCAAAGGTATGTGCGTGTAGTTAACAGTTCTGACTAGTGTCCAGAGAATGCAGGGGTGCAACAGGAGGAGCTCCTGCCACAATACAAGCACTCATCGCCTGTAAGGTCTGCTATGCAGAAAGCATGCAGGATGCTGGACAAGTGATAGCTAACCATCTCTTGCACACCTCAGCAGGTCTGGTTTAACCCTCCCAATGCAAGGAGGAGGGTGTGATTTAAATGAATAAATAGATAGAATAAATAAAATAAATAAAAGATGTAATATGAAAGTGTCATGGGGCAGAGAAAGCTCCTGATGCCCATTCTGGAAGAGGCCTCACATCCAGCTGTTTGCACTGGAGGGGGCCAGGGGACTTTGTTGCACGTCCTCAAGGAGTTACTGTACATAAAATATAAGAAGGAAAGTTAGGAAAGGACCTTTTTATGGGAAGAGAAACTTGGGGTCCTGAGAAAGCTCCACTGATACTAAGGAACACTGAACTCCAGCAGGCCTCCCTGAAACCCAATGTTCAGTTCTCCCACGGCTTCTTTAAAGACTTTTGGAAGATGCAACAAGTTGATCTGAGGGGAAAGGGGAAGGGAGGCAGTCTTTACAGATCACATGAGAAGTAACACAGTATAACCTTCAGCAGGACAGGCACCCAGCCCTCTATGACCCCACAATTCATTTAGAAAAAAAATCTCCTTCCCTGGGGAACATGGAGGTTTTGAAACACGCAACACCTGAGAAAATTGAAAGAGAAACGTATGCAGAAAGGCAGGTACAAACTAAACAAGCTTGCCTGTATCCAGAACCAGCTGGACTTCAAAAAGGCACATTCTTTCTAACAGACTTAAGAATAATGTGAGTGTTTTTTCAGAGGCTGGTAAGGAAAGTTATATACAGCACTTTTCAGACTGCAAGAATGCAAACTATGTCAAATGACAGAAAACTAAATCTCTCTTTTACTTTGGACTTGAGATCAAACTCTGTAAGCTCATTCACTAGAGTTAAATTACTTAACATATGCAGCACACCAGGGATTTGACTTGTAAAACTCGTTCAAAGCAATACACCACGGGAACGTTCTGCTACTTGGT